TCCTATTGTCCCTCTGTAGGACCCCTTCTAGGGCCAATGTGACATTGAAACGATGGGTTAGTAGAACAGGCGGGAGTCTTTCAGTGTGTGTATGTGCTTGAGAGCACTTGCACCCGTGCGTGTGTTTGTGTGTGTGTGTGTGTGTGTGTGTGTGTGTGTGTGTGTGTATGTGCGTGTGTGGCTGCATGTATGGGCACTGGTGTTGGCGATATCTTTTTTGTCGAGCGAATACGCGCTTGCTCACTTCACTGCCTATCTCCCTGGCCAGTTTGTAAGCTGGTCGTATTCATTCAACATAGCCTGCTGCCACTCAAATTGGTCTTGCACTGTGTCAACCTGTGACCAGCTAAACAGACAAGTTCCAATAAAAATGTCGCAATTGCCAGAGTCGATTCAAAAGGCAAAGTCACTTATCCCGTCACAAACCCTCATGCCTCTTCTCGTCTTCGTCTCGCTCAATGAGAAACACATGAACTGCTTGTTTGTATATACTTCGAAGTATGAGGATTAGCGACCCGGAGTCTGTGTGTGTGTGTGTGTGTGTGTGTGTGTGTGTGGTCTTTGCCTACGGTCTACGGTCAATCCTTGGCATTTCGCGCGGCCGCCAGTGGGAGCAGCACATTACATCGGAGCAACTACGCACACAGTGGGGTGACCCTACTCCACTGTCGTGCATGGTACAGCGAAGACGCTTGGAGTGGCTTGGGCACCTAGCTCGGCTTGATAACAATCGGTTACCCAAGCAGTTGCTCTTCGCTCATCTTCCACGAACCCGCCCGTTTTGCGGCCCCCGACATCGCTGGAAGGACGTTGTCCAGGCTGATCTGACTGTGGCCGGTGTGCACAATTGGTTCCCATCAGCCAATGATCGCGGAGAGTGGCGTGACATAGTGTCGGCAGCAGCGGGGGTGAAGGAGCCTGCCCCGAGGACGATTGTGTGCCACGTTTGCGGCCGCCTGTTTCGTCGGCGTGCCGACATGGCCCGGCACAAGTGCACAGCAGTCCGACAGCTCCCCGTATCACAGCAGCCTGGGTCGGTACAGCGTCCTGCCTGCAGTAGATGGCTCCGGAGCAGGGGTGGGCTTGCAGTGCATAAGTGCCTAGGGAGTGACAACTGTGACGACCGACCGCCTTTTGATGCTCCTCCTGTTGCCGAGGTCCTGGTGTGTACTGCCTGCCAGCGTACTTTCAAGTCTACTGCTGGCCTCAAGCGCCATCGCTGTGGACCCCGCCCGAAGCGCCCTACAGTGACTGATCGCCAGCACTTTGAACATCATTGCCGAGTCTGTAGTCAACGCCAGTTTCGGAGGCGACAGGATCTGGAGCGCCATTTGAAGCACTGCCTACCTCTCCCCTAACCTCTCTGACAGTACCTCCCTTTGGGGAGCGGCGTGGCCATTTCTGGCAGCTGTCAATAGTAGTAGTAGTAGTAGTGTGTGTGTGTGTGTGTGTGTGTTGGATCCCGGGACGGATACCCTGATGCCATCAATCCTTTTTCTGCGCCTTGTCCTCACCCACTTACTGAGGTGTGGTGAGCCCATAACTGGGATCATTCTTTTTTACTCTCTTTCTCACTCCTGTGTGCAGCCACACCATACATGCTCCCACCCCTAACACACCTCACTCACATACACACACACATACACACGCACACAGCAACAACAAACAGCCTCTGCGGGGACAGCAGCAACAGCAAGCAAATGTATTGTCAACCAAGTAACGGCGACAATAATAAACAGCTTAAAGCAGCTCAACTAGATCATCAAGATTATTGCAGTCTGCAATCTGAGCACACCGGAAATATCTAAACGACTCAACAAGATAACCATTCACTAGGGCGGGCGGGCATGGGCACTACACTTGCAAAGCAAGAAGAAAAAGAGTGCCGCAGCCGGAGCGCATGCTCCTAATATCTCGCATTTGCGAGCAGCAAATGTTACGTCATGCAAAAGTAAGACAAAAAAGAACTACATTTCGCGCTTCTTTCCTACGTCCGCCAACGAGAAATGAGGCATTTTCCAAGTGCACCCAGAGTTTTGGGGGTTTCAGGGGGTGTCTGCCATTGAGCAGTTCAAATAGCCAATTGATTCCTCTTTCCAAGATTCCTTTTGAGGCTGCGTGTACACGACAACGCTGGGGGTGAAAACGCAACAAAATCCTTTCGGATGCATGGTTCATTTACACGGTACGAAGAGCAAAATGTAAAAGTTGTACACCAAAACGGAAGAAAACCAAAACGCTGGCCAAGGTGGAAGAATTTGAAAACGGAAATGTTCTGCCGGATAAATTTGAGTGTGTAAACAGTCGAAACAGTATGCTGGCCTCGTTTTCCGTCACGCTTGTTTCGTTTTCGGCTGTTCACACGGATCCGGATATCCGGCAATCCAAACAATTATTTTTACAATTTTCGTCATGTGACGAGTGTTGTTTTGTGGCCTGTTTTCAACTATTCCTTGAGTGTGATTGGTGCTTCCACGACAACACTTGGCACATGACGAACTTTTGCGGATCCTTTGCTCGTGTAGACGCGCGAAAACGATACAAACGTAGACCACCTCGGATCAGCTTTGATCATGTAAACGCACGAAAACGAAAGAAGAAATGCGGGACTGAAAACGGAAAACTGGCCGTGCGTTGTCGTGTAAACGCAGCCTGAGTCTCTCTCCCTTCTCCCGGGGAGACTCACGTGACCAGTTTTGGCAGTGAGCAACAAGACTTAGTACGTGTGTGTGCGTGGAGGCGGGTGTGCTTGCTTCTGTGTATACTTGTGGGGTTGTGAGTGTGTTTGTGAGGGACAAGGGGCGTGTGCGTGGACAAGCGTCACAAGGTGTGTGTGTGCGTGGACAAGCGTCACAAGGTGTGTGTGTGTGTGTGTGTGTGTTTGTGAGGGACAAGGGGCATGTATGTGTGTGTGTGTGGGGAGGGGGGGGTGTTTATGAGGGACAAGGGGTGTGTGTGTTTTCGAGGGACAAGGGGTGTGGATGTGGGTGAGTGTGGACAAGAGGTGGGTATGTGGGGGGGGGGGGGGGTGTACGTGGGGAAAACAAATGGTACAATGTGTCAGGAAATCCCTAGCAGGGAATGTCGCTTCTGTAGTATGTGTGCAACGTATCCTGCTAGACGGTCACCTGTTTTACAGCTTGATGTTATTCAGAATGTGTATCACTGCCTGTAGATTCCAGTCATGATGTCATTATGAGAAATGATTATTATAACAATGACTTCATTCTTAATTATATCATCAACACATGCAATCCATAAGACGAATTCTATATCCAGAGCTTCAAGTAAATGGTTGATTCTTCCTGTGTGTGTTGTTTGGGATGTGTGTGGGTGTGGTGGCGTGTGTTTGGGTGTGTGCGTGTGTGTGCGTGTGTGTGTGTGTGTGTGTGGTGTGTGTGCATGTGTATGTGCACTCTCCCCGTTGTACATTCTACAGGGCTAGGTGAGCTTCTGAAGATCTCTACTGGATAGTGTTTAGCAGTTGAGATTGGTGAACTTGACCAGCACTGGACAGGGATCATTTCAAGCAGCTACTGCAGTAAGAGATACTTCAACAGCACACTACCTGTCATTGATCACAACACTGTGACATCACTTGTATAGACATGATGTATACAGATTGTCTATGACACACACAGTGTTGTGTTACTATGTAGATATAATGATCAACTGAACTACATGTACTGTCTAGTCCAGTCTACTGTGGTATCAGTTTTACTGAATGTGTTCATGTCTACTCTCACCTACTGTTTTTACACTAGTCACTGTACAGAATAGCTACCGCTATGTCAGTTAAACCTGCAAAACTATACTCTACAAATGTTTATACTGCAATGTATATTGCCATAGCAGTGTCAGCCATACCCTGTACACACAAGTTCATGCTACTATCCTTGAGATACACATCATATTTTACTCCTGTATTGAAATCTAGCAGCACTGCTAGCATTCGTGTGACAAAATAATGCCTGTTGCAGCCGCTGCGTGCTATCACGTCAAAGCATGAAGCATCACAAATGTAGCCATGATTCGACCTGAGCAAGCACAGACCGCAGCTCCTTCCACATTGTTTCCCATTGTGGCCCGCTTTCCAGTAGCCCACAGGATTTATCCTGCCTGAACATGGCAATGTGTCCAAAATCCGATATGTTTGTGTGTACGTACGAGCACGCGCATGTTGGTGCATGTGTGTGTGTGGGGGTTTGTGCACTTGAATGTGTGTGGTGGGGGGGGGGGGGAGGTGCACATGGATGTGCATGCACGTGTGTGTGTGTGTTTGTTGTGTGGGTATATACATACTCAGCGGGACAGCATGCCAAACTAGAGTGTGCCCATTCATTACAAGCTCATGAACAGGATCCTACCTCTGCCAGTATTTGTATTATCTTACCATCAGTAATATGCAGCAGTGTTGTAATGATCAAATTCATCATGGTTAAGATCTACAATGTACTGTCGTGAACATTGAAATCAGATGGGATGACGGGACCGACACCCTCACATTTATTTGCACATACAATACACTATAGTTAATGTACATACAGTAAACATGGACCAGCAGTGCTCACGACTGCAAGGCCAGCGCCCAGTGGCCGCTTGACTTCTCAACGGATTTCAAAGTCCACGACAGTACCTTGAAGTGTAGATACATGGGGGTGGCAAACGTCACGAACCATGATTCTGTGGCGATACTGCGCCTAGAGATCACTGGCCGTGCTCATAGGCAGGCACAAGAGTATGTAACGTCTGCGGGGGCGGGGGTCTGAGCCCTCTGGATTTGGATGAGCAGATAATCCGGGTTTGTTGCTAGACCAGTGGCACAGAGTACTCGACGGATTGCCAACAGCAAATTGCAGTGCTTGTCTGGGACAGTACAGGCATGTGTTGACTGCATGTGATTTCAGGTTTCATATTCTAACACTTTGTATGAAGTCAGCATACATGCAGTTCTTCAAGTATAAAGCATCTTGAATAGTGACGTAATTAAGCACCGGTAGTCAGGTACAGAAAACAGTTAGAGTGACCTGGGAGCAAGTAGTAGTGATGTAATAGCAGTACAGCCGTTAAGTAGTAGTGATGTCATAGCAGTACAGCAGGTAAGTAGTAGTGATGTCATAGCAGTACAGCCGGTAAGTAGTAGTGATGTCATACCAGTACAGCCGGTAAGTAGTAGTGATGTCATAGCAGTGCAGCCCGAAAGTAGTACTGGCACCATAGCCAATATTTTGCTTGTAACTAAAAAATAATCATAACACAGTCCCTCTCCATCCTTCCAGGACGGTGGAAAGGGTGGAAATTGAAATGGAAAACAAACTGTGAACGGCCCTAGGTGAGAAAGAGAACATAACTTCTTGGTGATGGCCGTCGGAAACAATGCACATTGGCTATGAGAGTTGTCACTGATAGGACGGGAAGATTGAACATTGCGATGTCGTTATTTAACCACCTATGATAGAACACAGCTTGGGACTAGCTAGGGCACTAGTGAATTTGCCACAAAAAAACCCATAGCTATGTGAATAAAAATAAAAATAATTATCAGTGGCATACTTGAAGTAGTGAGGGTAGGTAAGTGTAATTTGTCATGTGACCAGTATTGATGGTGGATATGCTAAAATACATATACATGTAGAGTAGTGATGATACTAGCATTGAAACTGGAGAATGGGACGGTCAAGGGTGGACTGTGAGGAGACTAGCATTGAAACTGGAGAATGGGACGGTCAAGGGTGGACTGTGAGGAGACTAGCATTTAAACTGGAGAACGGGACGGACGGTCAAGGGTGGACTGTGAGGAGACTAGCATTGAAACTGGAGAATGGGACGGTCAAGGGTGGACTGTGAGGAGACTAGCATTGAAACTGGAGAATGGGACGGTCAAGGGTGGACTGTGAGGAGACTAGCATTGAAACTGGAGAATGGGACGGTCAAGGGTGGACTGTGAGGAGACTAGCATTGAAACTGGAGAATGGGACGGTCAAGGGTGGACTGTGAGGAGACTAGCATTGAAACTGGAGAATGGGACGGTCAAGGGTGGACTGTGAGGAGACTAGCATTGAAACTGGAGAATGGGACGGTCAAGGGTGGACTGTGAGGAGACTAGCATTGAAACTGGAGAATGGGACGGTCAAGGGTGGACTGTGAGGAGACTAGCAACAGCAGTGAGGATGCACACATGCACACGCACTGCCAACTTAACCTTTTTACTGGCATTTCTTCGGTTCGTCCGGAATTAGAACGTTGGCTGGGGTGGTGCCAAGTAGCATGGAATGGCGCTCATACGACTTTGATTTACGGAAGCGACTGTCCGTGCCATGCAGCAAATCAAAGATTCCCAGCATGCCAAAGTTCTGGTTGAACCTGCATAGCAGCAGCCAACATAAACGAAAAAATTAAGTCAGTTTTTATAATTATACGAGGTACACAAACCCATCGGCAGGCACATGGGGCTAGCATGGGGTCACCAGTGATACTGTGCTGGTAGGACCTCCCATGCTCAACTGGCCAGAGGTCTCGGCATCATCGAATGGCAGACTCACCAAACTGAGGGCATTTTAGTGCATTGGATCAGAATCAGACAATACATATAGGAACATTCATGGTAAGAAGAGACAACAACCATGACACTGGTATGGAAGTGAACTGCTGGAAAAAGGGAGTATTTCTTTTCTGGTGTTCAGGAAAGGGACTGGGGGAGTAATCTTCTCCTCTGTGCAAATTTCGAAAAGTTAGCACCTGGTTTACATGCAGTCAGAAGTTTTTTTTGGGGGGGTATTTCCTTTTAGGTGTACAGTGGGGAGGGGGGGGGGGGGGGGGCTCAAGTCAGATTGTTGCGTTCACCGCCTCCCATGTATGTGCAAGGTATTACTATTAGTACAGCTACCAATCAATGCAGAATGCACAAACTACACCACTAACTTTGCGTGATGGTAGTCGTGGTACTCGTTGGACGCCATGAACGGCAGGTGGAAGCCGCTGAGTTCGATGGACATGGAGGCCAGCGAGATACAGGCCCACAGCAGCAGCAGCAGCATACAGTGAGAGCCGAGCAGGATGGGACCAGCCATTACCGGCAATATGTTGGACAGGAAATGCTCGACTGGGTCACAGTACAGGCCAGAGAAGCTGATCGGCGCGGTCTACTCGTGGTGAACCTTGTGAACGTGTTTTTTCATCGCTGCCAAGCTCCTCAAGAGGCTTCAGCATCTGGACTATCCTTTCTGCTTTCACTCACTGTAATAATCGCTGGTAGCCCTGGCCACGTCATTGGTGATGGTCACAAAGCTCGCTAGCAGTGGTCACTCGCCCCGTGTCCGAAATTTCGAGTCCACCGTTTCATACTCTTGGACGATACATGTACCGAACCAACGGTAAAGATCCGATAGAACAACAAGACACGTGCACTATTGCAGGCAACGATTTAGATCTGTTGACCATCTAGCCGCGCACTGCATTTCCATTTGGCGTTTGAATGGATGTTCAAATAATATCCAACACGCAGTTCAGTTCAGTTGGCTCAGTCCTCCAGTCTGCGGTCATCAAAATCATGCCATTCATGGCGATCAACACGCTTTCTCTTACAACTCGGTCTGGCTTTCTTCAATCTTGACCATTATCACTGCCATACTAGGACAAACAGTTTACTCTATTCATATCACTCCATAAATTAGGCATATTAAATGGAAACTGATTGCGTTCGTAGATCTACTCTGCAATCATCAGCCAATAATCCAAGGAACCGAAAAAAATCCTATCTGCTATGTGAGGTCAACACTTTCTTCGTGCACGCATGCGCAACCATGACCGGAGTCGGAGACTGGTACATGGTGGTGCAGTGGCGGAGAGGCCCAATGCAATACAACGCCGGCCAAATGCGAAGGCTACTGCCAGTAGATCTACAGCTGCACCGACCGCGTTGACGTTGTCCTCTCCTTCTGACTATTTTTTAATTTTTAATTTTACTATTCTCTTAGTAAACTTTTCTAAGCACTCGCAGACTCCATTGCAGCCACTCACACATTACTAATTCTCTTAGTGCTGGCACTGTTACAGTGATCAGGCGCGTACGCAGCGAGCGAAGAGCCCAGGGCCAGGCGATCGAGCAGATGCTGAACATTTCAAGCCGCGTGATTTTCGAAGAGTTGTTTGCCTTCATGGAATTCGCTCTGTACCTGAGCCACAACTGATGAACGCCTTGTACTTGAAAGTACGTGTTATTGCTTGAGAAAACACAACTTTTTGATCCTAAGAAGTTATGCAGTAACTCGATGTCGATCGTGATCAGTCCGCAGTGCGAGTGAACTGTGGTCACGCGGACAGGCAGGAGTGTGAACAATGGCAGACAGGGTGCGCTATAACATAGCCTTCTTACTTTCCAATCTAGATGCATCCGTGATCTTGGAACTCTTGCTGGAGAATGATGTGCTGGACGTTGATGAATATGATACTGCCTCTAGCAAGGAAAACGTGAAGTCTGATCTGACAAAGTACGTGGTGAGGCTGATGCTGAAGAAAACGGACGAACAGGTGGATGCGTTCCTGAGTCTCGTTCAGCACAGCCAGCCTCATGTAGCGGAACATGTCGCCAGTACCATGGCGAAGCGACGCGATGCAACTGCCAGTGCCAGTGGGAAAACTGACCGTCCAACGAAGCCAATGTCGACAAATCATGAGCCAACACTTGGCTCGCCCTCCGGTAAGTCTTCACATTGATTACAGTGGCTTAGGAAGATTGGGGGGTGGGGGGGGGGGGGGGGGTTGGGGGGGGGGGGCTCGTTGAACATTCGTGTAACTACATGACATGTACAGTTCTGCTCAATGAAATCCAGTCACAGCATCACTCAAGTACGCGCCGGGCGTTCACAGCCCTAGACCTGCGAACACTGGGCTGAGAAATTGTGCAAAGGCGCAAACTTGAGTGACACGACTGGATTTCATTGAGCAACACTGTACTTACTTGTCAGCAGTGAGAAGTGCTTACAGAGATCAATTATTAGTTTATGCATTCACATCCATCATATTGAGAGCTGACCCTGGGAATGCAGTGGGTTCACTTAGGTTAGATGGACAGTCCTGAGGTTATAACCAGATCTACATGAGCATTGTGTAGATCTTCAAGAAATGCAGGTGCCACCGACGTGAAGCACTATCATGGTTCACTAGATTATTGCTAAGGAGTTCAGTTCCAGCCTGGGTCAGGTGAAAACTGCAGTCACAACTCGTGTGTACATTTTCAATGGGGCCCGCGTGAAAGCTCTTTGGCCTGACATTTTCGATTGGGCCCCGCGTGAGATCTCTTTGGCCTGACTTTGACCCCGCTTCTATCTGATCCCGTGGCCAGTACTCCCTTGTCGATGCTATTTTAGGTAGCTGAGGTCATCGCCTTTCCATTGATGCCACACATGCAATGCTTGAACAAAAAAGGTGGAGCCGTGGTTTGCACAGAGGCATAGTGAAGTACTGATCTCAACCAGATTCATACTCGGCCCCAGGAGGTACACCCAATTTTAGTGTTCAGCAGCCTCGAATTAGTCTAAAACAAGAGGATTCTAGAATATTTAGCCTCGCACTTTATCGCAGTAGAAGGAAAATTATCACAGAAGCCAGCCCACAGCGATTTCCCGGAGTTGGACGTAAAAATCGAGTGAATTGCGCACTCACTGTAGAAGCTGTGACGGTGAAAGCATGTGAGTTGTGCAAGCAGGCACACCCGACATGCATGACGTGCACCACATGCATGCACACGGCATGCATGTGCACATCCTGTACCGCCATGCCCTTCAGTTTGCACGCGCATTTATGCACCAAATAGTGCAGTGCTGGACGGAAACCACACCGTCCCCATTCATCCTTGAATTACTTTCTGTGACTGCTCAGTTGTTCATTTTCCAAACTTCAATCACAGCTTTAACTTTGGTTTAGGTAAAGTAAAAAGTAATTTATCGTGTCCGTTCCTGAAGGGAACTCACGACGGCCGCTAACACCCGGTAACCCCTAGCGGCATTGCCTTTGGATTGCCTTGGAATTTATGTTTCAAACTTTCGCAGGTCGTTTCTGAAACCTTCCCGGTTCACAAAAAATAGCGTTTCATGCGAAACTTTCGAATATGATTTTTCGTTTGAAGTTCCTATTATTGCTTTGCATCGTAGCTGCTGATGAGTTTTGTTTTTCTAAAGTTCTGCAGTTTACTTCGAAATCGCAAACATTGCTTTAGTCGGAGTCAGTTGGTCTAATTGCTACGCCGGCAGCAGCTATAGTGCAGCATTCCAGAGAATACCACTTTTCAGACAAAATGTTCAACTGAGACTCAGTACAGTAGTTCTTGGAGAGAGAAGATTGCAAAGTACTTTGGCGGCAGAGTTAAATTTGAACATTTCCATGGAAATACTAAGCCCAAGGCTACAAGCCATTATTCAATGACCTCCAAAAGATCTCACTAAGTCAAGATGGTCATCAACACCATTGTGGAAAATCCTCTATCAGTGGAACATGACTTTGTTTCTAGTCATAGAGTTCTAGCACAACCGCTAGTAGGAGATAAGCCCGGGGTTCTTGTTTGTAATAGCTGGAACCGGGGCGTTATTTTCTAACTTGAACTTATCCATCTGTCATTGCTCCGTGCACAGAACAGTCTGAGAACACTACCAGTACTATGATTTTTTAACTTACTTTCTCCGTCCAGTTAAGCAAAACTTCTACATGGGTTTTTTTTTAACTCGGAGAGCGTTTTAGTGTTCTGTTTATGATCTTTCTATAGGCATTAGACACACATGTCAGTGATCTATTCCCCCCCCCCCCCCAGATAGGGTAGCCATGGTGACATCCATTACTCTGATAGGCTTAGAACCTCCGATACGCATGGAGTCCTTTGGAGAAATTTAAGAAGTATAGCCCTGTCCTGACAGGATGTCACCAGAACACACCCACAAGCGCACAACACCGAAGTGAGAAATGAGAAACAGAGCCTTACAAAAACCATTCCTGTGAGCTCCTTGGCCCAGGGAGATTGCAAAAATGCCTGTCAAGAACAATACTGAAAATTATACCGGTATCACCGCCAACAATACCAGTTATTGTGCGCACAAGACGGAAAGCCATGAAGATCCCCAATCAAAAGGACGTCACTCTTCATGCCGCAGAATTCACGGCAGGTAGACCGCTGACAAAGATCAAGATGCTGTTTGCGTAGCTCTTCTCAGACTTCCCAAGTTCTCTAAATCTCAAGGTAAAATTTGTGCACAAACAACTCAAGTTGTACTTCAAAGTAGATCTACCATGAGCAAGTATCAAGTGCCGCTCCAGTGTCAGGACTCAACTGGTCACGCAAGCGGAAAGAGTGAGTGCGTTCGATTATGACCGCGAAACGATGTTGAATCCATTCATGAAACGTCCCTGGCTATTCACATCACCCCATGATAGGGTAAATGGATTCCAAACTGATTCCAGGGCTACATGACATGAAATCCAACGACAAGATTCCATTCATGAATCAATTAATGGCTGTAATCGAACGCACCCAGTGTGGCCGAGGAGCCGGTCAAAAGTTCACCACTGAAATCGCACAAAAGCTGATTGTTGTAAACAATCAGAACTGGGGTCGATTGTCGTTGAACTGACTAGCCAGCAAGCTGGTAAGAGAAGGAGTAAATGTCTCACCTGTGACTGTTTGAGCTAGGTGCAAGGTGCTTCAGATGCGGAGACGGCGACGATACATCAAGCCGGATTTGACAGCCGAGCATAAAATAAAGCGCATGAAATTTGTCCTCTCCCAATTGAATGAGCAGACCATGAAATTCTCCGACCTGAAAAACGAGACACATGGAGGCGAGAAGTGGTTCTACATGATGCATGACAAGCATGCAACAGAAAATGTGGTGGTTTCACGAGGATGCAGCATACACAACCATTGATGCTGGTACAGTCAAACCTGGCTTATCCGGTCCTCTTTTATCCAGATCCCTTGCCATCCGGAAAAAAATTGTTAGTTACCGATTTACAGCATATGCCATGCATACAACACATACTGTATGTCATACGGTGTGTGTGTTCGATTATCCGGTTCCCTATCAGATATTTTTGTGGAAAACGGATGTGTGTGCGGTTATGCGAGGTCTGATCTCAACGCGGACGACTTGGCGTTCTTCCACAGCCTGCAGACCGACGTGTCACTAATGGCGAAGGAAACCAGAAAAGAGCTCAGAAGTTCTGCAGGCTTTGGAAACGTGCTGGCAGGAGAACTCTGCTGTCAAGATGAAAAGCATTACATTTTGGTTGTCACGCAGCTGCTATGGCACCTTCCATGGCATTCGGGAGAGCGGCGGAGAGAAACACTGCCGACAGCGGCACCGTGCAAATCGTCAAGCTCACAGTTCAAGCAAAGAAGTACGATCAATTTTTTCTCAGCATCTTTTAAAGATTACGGAGCAAGAGCTGTCAGTGTGTCAGCGCTGTAGACGGGAGTCAGCGAGGAAGCAGACTCAATGCAGGGAATGAGTTGTCATCGGATTCAGATGAAGAGAGAGAAGCTGGACCGCTTCGAAACAAACTGTGTGACATCTATAAACTACTACCTCTCATATGCTGCTTTGTTTCCCCTCTGCGAAGTGTGTTGTAGCCATAGAATGCTTTTGACGGAACTGTAAAATATATGCAACAACGTTTCGCTTAAAGGGGAAGTTAAGGCAAAAATCAAAATTTCACCAGTTGTAGT